CCACAGCAGAACCCTGCTAATCCAGCTGCCTCTGCTGCCTAATGACTTTCTCAAGGTATTTTTAGCTGCATGTAAACTTCAGGAAAAGCTTTTTTTGCAGCCAAGCACACTGTGGCCTTTGTTCAGGCTTCTGGGAATGGGGAGGTAACGGCTCAGCGCAGCTGTGGTGGCTTGCACAGCCCTTTCCCCTCGCAGTGTGTTTGCAAGCTGCTCAGGAGCATTGCAAGCCTGCTGTGTGGGGCTGCTGGAGACCCCTCCAGCGATGCTGAGCTCCCACTGATCTGCTCTTGCCCATGCACAATCTGCAGCTTGCTTGGGCAAAGCTTCTGGTTCAGGAGCAGCTCAGAAAGGAGCTTTCAGAAAGGGCTGCTCGCTGCTACAGGTATGGCCCCACAGCAGAACCCTGCTAATCCAGCTGCCTCTGCTGCCTAATGACTTTCTCAAGGTATTTTTAGCTGCATGTAAACTTCAGGAAAAGCTTTTTTTGCAGCCAAGCACACTGTGGCCTTTGTTCAGGCTTCTGGGAATGGGGAGGTAACGGCTCAGCGCAGCTGTGGTGGCTTGCACAGCCCTTTCCCCTCGCAGTGTGTTTGCAAGCTGCTCAGGAGCATTGCAAGCCTGCTGTGTGGGGCTGCTGGAGACCCCTCCAGCGATGCTGAGCTCCCACTGATCTGCTCTTGCCCATGCACAATCTGCAGCTTGCTTGGGCAAAGCTTCTGGTTCAGGAGCAGCTCAGAAAGGAGCTTTCAGAAAGGGCTGCTCCTCCCGGGTATCTGCATGTCATGGTGGCTGTCAGAAGAAACCTCACCTCTGCCTGCTGCCAACAACTGTCTCTTGCAAAGTCAACTTGCAGGTGGAATTAGAACATTAAATGTCCTGGATCTTTACTTGAAGCTCTCAGGGCTGGAGGGACAAGGGCAGTTAGTGGCTTCCCATGGGTTTTGTGTCCTCTTGTCTGCTTGGATGCTGGTGTCATACAGTGGATGCAGGCAGGGAGGCAGAATGGCTCTGTGTGCTGCACACAATGCCACATCTCCCCTGTTGTGGTCTGGGGATCTCCCCAAGGCACGTGCGTGGCTAGCGGGGCACTTGCCCTGTCCTGCATCGCAGTGGCTGCACAGGATGGGCAAGCGCTGTGAGCATCCCTCACAGGGTGCCAAGGTGGCTTTTGCTGCTGTTTTCCATGTGAGAGGTACCTGGGTGTTGGGGCAAGGTCAGCCTGTGCCCTGCCCATGCTCATGGGGCAAAGGAAATTGTAGATTTTTCTCATTATGTCAAGACTAGTCAGCATTTGGAAATGGAAGCTCAGCCTTTAGGAGAAGAGTTGACAACTGGAAAGTTTAAAAGTAATTGTCACCTCCCTTCCCCCTGTAAGGGGGGACTTGGCTCGGAACTGGCCAACTTTCCACCTGTGAAAGGCACCAGACATGCAGCAAAGGACCCAAATGGCTTTGTAATCCCAGGCAAGTCGGACATGGAGCCTCTGCTGTGGCCGTGCCAGAAGAGCTCCTGCCGGGAGGGGCAAGCAGGAGTCTGGGGAGCAACTCAGTGTGGGGTTACTGCTGAGTATCTGCCTCTCCTGCTCATAGCAGAAGGCAGGCAGGACCTGAGCTTGCCTGTGGTCTCTGCTGACTTGTTGCTCCACCAGGCACTCTGGGTCATGCCCATGTTTTCACGGGAGTCTCCTGTCTTGGTCGGGATTGTTTTTCTTCATCTATTTTTATTAACTCTTGTCTCTGAAATAGCTCTGGCACTGAACTCCCACACCCCTTCCACTTTCCTTACCAGCGGGCTCCTTGAAATGCCTGCTCCAGGCTGCCAAGGGCTCCTACAGCTGGGATTGGGGGTCCCCAGCTGGATGTGGGGCTGAGGGTGATGCCACCCCTCGTAGCCCCTCCACCAGTGACGTGTTCAAACAGCCTCTGTGCTTGTAATAAGGGCAAGAAATTCAGGTGTTCAGCTGGAAGTCAGGGCTCTGTGAGAAACCATGCTAGCAAATGAAGCCGTGTACGGTGGTGTCTGCTCCTCTGGGTATGACCTGGGTGCTTGGTCCAGCCTGCTGGAAAATTCCCTGTAGGTGGAGGGTCTCAGAGCTGGCATAAAGATGCTTCTCTCTTTGGGGGAAGGAGAGTGTGGGCTGAAAGGGGCAGGTCTGAAAACAAGAGCTACTGCTAATTGCCTGCAGCATCTCTCTGCTTAATGGAGTGGAGAATAGAGCTCGCTGCATTTCCCTGGCTGCCTGCTCGGCGCAGAGCTGAGGTCTGGGCTCTCATGGCCATGAACCAAGCACTGCTGTGATGCTGTTGGTCCATGTGAGCTGCGACAGGGTGCAACTTCAGTCTGGGGTAGCTGGTCTTGGAACTCATTGTTGGCCATGAAGAGCTGGAGTGGTCTTCCAGCCATTCTGGGCAGCTTGCTGCAGGCAGGAGCTGCAGGAGGGATTTGCAGGCTGCTCCCTGCCCCAGGTGGGGTCACAGCAAGTCTGAGTAGGCTGTGAGCCAACGGGTCTCTAGGTGTTTGGGCTTGGTCTGAGCTATCAGGGTGGTCAACCCTGACCTGTGGGCAGTTCTTACCGAGTGACTTACTCTGAGGCCAGGCTACCCATGTGGAAACTGTATCAGTACCACCAAGTCACACAGTGGCTCCGAGAGCTCAACCACATCCTCTGCGAGTGGTGCTGGCCATGTGCGTTGCTGAGAGAACACATTGCCTTGGTTGGTGCTGCCATTGGGTCATCGCATTGGTCCTTCAGGACCCCTAGTTTTCTGCAGGGGGTTGGAAACTGTGAATGTGAAGTGCTTGCAGGTTCAATTCCAGCCTGGCGTTCTGTTGGTGCATGTGAGCAGGGCAGGAGCTTGACCAAAATGACTTGTTAGATCACGCTGCATGTAATGTGGAAGAGGGATGTTCACCTTGTGGGGTCTGTGAGCTTTCATGCTCCTAGCAGGAGGCTTAAAATCACTGCCTGAATGTTCATCTGGGGCTCTGCAGGTCAGACAGGTGGAAAGTCTCCAGGTCTTGGTGGAAACTCGGTGGCCACTACCTTCTGGGACTCCCATCTCCTTTCCTTCTGCGTTGCAGTAACAGCACTTGCTCCCTCTCCCTTTCAGATGGAGCAAGTCCCCTTGCTGCAATGCAGAAGCTGCACAGGAGAGTTGATGTATTCCAGTTTATCGATTTGCTTTCCAAAAATAAGGATAATGGGTATAAGATCAATATTGAGTGGTGCCCAATAAAAGGCAGAAACCCTTGGAGCAGCAAACAAGCACTGGGTTAGTTGAGTCATTCATATTAGCCCGATTTACCCCGTAACCAACAAGCAAAGGTACCTGCTACATCTCAAGCTGCTGCCTTTAACCGAGTGAGGCTTTCCAAGAAGGGAATAGGAGAAGCTGCCCCATGCCCCTGTGCCTGTGCCAGCTCTGCAAGGCATCAGCCTGGCCGCCAGGGCAGGGACTGGCTTTGTGCCTCCACCTGGTGACAAGACGGGGTGTTGCATTGTAGCCTACATAATTCAGTTTTATTTGGGGGACGGGGAGGGAAATCACCAGGGAGGCGTTCTGGCTGGGTTGATGGGAACGAGCAAATCTTGCTCCTCTCTCTAAGGATAAAGTCTATAAATAGACATCTCTTAGTTTTCTCCTGACGTGCCTTTGTAGTGATACACGATGAGATGCTTGTCATATTATTTATTCTGCCTGCCTTTGCACTGCAGGTGGGATGCACACTAACTGGGGTGGCTGAGCGAGCGGGGGGCAGAGGTGCAGCTTTTCATAACGTGAAGGATGCACTGAGTCAAATGCCACCTCCCCTGCCTCCTACCTGGATTGCAGTGTCGGGGAGGATTTACCCTTCTCTCTTCCCCACTTCCCCATCACGTAATCCACTTAATCCCCTGACGACAGGACTCTATTACTGTCAGTTCTGTGGAGCCAATATTGCTAATGGGCAAGCTGTCTCCTCTGTCTTGCATCAACAGAAGAGTCAGACAAATCTGGAGTCTTGGTACCTCCAGCAGTGATCCTACAAAGTAGAATAAACGCAGCTTGATTTAATAGGTATCCAGGTCTCCTCTTTGCACTGCCACTTTAAAACCCAAACCTCTCATGTTGCCACGTATTTAACAAATGTGGATAAACCTTACTGCTTTTCTTATGGAAGGCAACTTTGGAGCTGCCTGATGTTACCGGATCACACTGTGGGTGCAGTTCAGCCGTCATGCTGCCCTGGGAGGGAATCAGGAAACTGGATGGGAGTGCCGGAGGGTGGATGAGGTCGGGGAGTCTGATTCTGTAGTTGTTGTTTTAGCCATGTGCTGAGCCTTGGCTCTGATCTGCGCCCTCAAGGCTGCTGTTGCAGAGCAGGATATGGTTGAAGAAAACCAGTGTTGAGGTTTTAACATTGTGGAAATCTAAGCAGCCGGGCTGAGGTTTTGCAGGTCCCTTCTTGGGACTGGGGGTGGATTTAGGCCAGGGAGATGGACCTCTGGTTCCAGCTCCTGAACACTGTGCAGTCTATGTGGGGCTTGTGTGTGGCTAAGGCTATAGTGGCTTGATGCCCACCAGACCTCCTTACCACGCTCCGGCAGTGCTTGTGCTTTCTCGCCTTCTACCTGACTGCCTGTAGCCTATTTGAGGAAAGAGAAACACACAGCATCCCTTCTCTGTGCCCTGTGTCAGTAGTCCAGGGCTAACCACTTGCAATGGCACTGGGATCCCTTAAACCCTGCCTACCTTATTTCCAGGGTGTCTTAACGGAGAAGCATGGGGAATGGAGACATCTCCTGTCCCAAGGAGAGGTGGGTGCCAGCGGATGCTCCTGTTGACTCAAGCACTGCTCATTGCCTCCACAGTTGTCCAGTGGCCTGTAGGCAGCTGAACAAGTTGTGTGTTCTTCTCCAGACAGTGGCCTCTCTCTCCGGAATATCTCTCTCTCCAGAAGATCACACCATTGCAAGGCAGTGGCCTGTCCCACTTACCTTTTCCTCTTGTTTCCCGCAGGGGTCCTCACAGCTGGAGAGCACAACTTTCCCTTCCAGTTCCTGCTGCCAGGTATGATGCAGATAAATGGCTGAAGGCACTTCCATGTAAATGGCTTCCGCAGCCTCTAGAGCTGTGCTGAGCAGGACTTGGGCTGGATGGCAGAGGCAGGCTGGCAACTTGGCCCAGAGGCGCTAGAGGAAGCATAAGGTCAGCCTCAGACAGCCAAGGAGCTCAGACAAGTGGGTACCTTCTGCATTGGTGCAAAGCTGGGTCTGAGCTGTTGCTGATGCCTCTCCAAGCGTGACTCTGTGAGCTCTCTGGGTGTGTGCGGGGGTCCTGGCCTGTGGCTAGCCAGGTGTCCTGCACTCAGTGTGCTTGGAGAGGATCTCTGTTCTTGTACCTGTGGTTGTAGAGGATCCCTTCTGTAAGAAGGCTACAGCAAGGTCTCAGAGTGACCTAAGTATTCAGTCCCAAGTCTTTTTGAGGGGAATCCCCATGTGTTCTCTCTATCAGGTACTTGCAGAACTCCTCAGGTGAAGAGGAAAGCTGTTTAAACAGACTGTACTTCCAGTTCAGAAATGCTTGGCCTGACTCAGCTTTATGATCCTTTTCTTCCTCTCTTGACTCCAGCCTCTGCTCCTACATCATTTGAAGGCCCTTTTGGCAAGGTCCTCCATCAGGTGAAAGCTGTGATAGACACGCCTCGCTTCTCCAAGGACTACAAGTGCAACAAGATCTTCTATGTACTCTGCCCTCTCAACTTGAATGACATCCCTGACATCGAGGTAAGAACAAGGAGTGTGGCTGGGAAGTGCCAAGGCTTCAGCACTTGTCCTGTGTGCTGTCTGGGGAGTAATTGTGTGGCTGGACAACTCTGACTGCATGCCCTGACTGTGCAAGAGCAGGACAAGGACTCCTGATCTGTCCTGCCTTGCCATCAGTCCCTGTTCCAGTGATTTTTGACTCTTCTGCATGTTGCTTTGAAAGATTTAAATGAATTTTCAGCGTGCAGAGAGAGGTGTTGGCCATTAGCACCAGGTGTGCGTAGACACCTGGGTTTGGGGAGCTTGCTTTGGAGGGAAGAGCAATTAATAGGACAGCAAAACTGGGGAGATGGAGAAGTGAGACATGTTCTCTGTGGCAGTGCCATTGTTGCTGGTTCTTTGTGTCCTCTTGGACCAGATATTTCTGCTTGCTTATTTTGAATCTCTGAGTGTGGCTCTCTGACTCTCTTGAGCCAACATCTCTGTCTCTGCCATCCTGCAGCAGCCCAACGCTATGTCAGTCACCAAGAAGTTCAACTACAAGCTTGTGAAAAGTGGAAACATTATCTTGACAGCCACCTCAGATCTGAAAGGGTACATCGTGGGGCAAGCAATCCAGCTCCGCACGGACATAGAGAACAAATCAGGCCGGGACACTGGGGCTGTGGTAGCCAGTCTGCTCCAGGTAAGCATCTGAAAGGGTGACTCTTTGGCTTGTGCTGGTACTCCACTCCCCTGAGGCCTCTGTGAAACTGGGGCAGTTCTCACCAGTGTGCATCTCTGCTGCGTGTGGCTGGGAGGTGGCAGCAAGGAGTCCAGACCTCTGTGTTTCTCTCTACCTTCCTGGGGAAAGAGGTGGTAGAACTTCTCTTGCTCACACCAACTCGTATCATAATGGGTATTTCTGCTTTGTAATACACATGTTAAGTTTGTGCTCATGCTTATTTGACAAAGCAGTTTGGTGGTTTTGTGTCCTGACTAATGTTTGTGGGAGACAGAAGACCATCTGCGATGTATTTTCTTCTGTCTGTACAGAAAGTGGCTTACAAATCCAAGCGTTGGATTTATGATCTGAGGACCATCGCGGAGGTGGAAGGCTCAGGAGTGAAAGCCTGGAAACATGCAGAATGGAAGGAGCAAATCCTTGTTCCAGCGCTGCCCCAGTCCATTCTGCAGGGCTGTAGCCTTATACATATCGACTACTACATCCAAGTGAGTACATCCGTGCTCCTGGGGAGCTCCAGCAGGCTGTGCTCCCTTCTGGGTTGAGCTCAGTCGCTGAACTCCGTAGCTGTGTGGCGCAGGTGGCCCTTGCATCAGGTGAACCTTCCCAGTGCAATGTATATTGAAGAAGATGCCACTATTTTTCCTTCTCTTCCAGGTTTCCCTCAAATCACCAGAGGTTTCGGTCACTCTCCCCATTTATATTGGTAACATTGCTGTGAACAGGGTGCCTCTGAGCCCCTCCCGGTCCATCCAGCACATACCATCTGCAGTGGTACCCAGTGCCCCCCCGGAGGAAGAGGAGGCTGCCAGTGGTTATCACCCGATGGACAATGTCTCGATCCCCACCAAAAGCCATTCCCAGCAGCAGCCATTTAGCTATGCCCCAGGACTGAGCTTCCAGGAGATGAGGGTGGACTCAGAGCAGACGGGCTCCCCAAACCATCCCACACTCTGCCTGTCGACGGGAGCCACTGTCCCTTACTATGCTGAGGGGAATGTGGTGCCTGTCCCCACGGCCAGCTCTCTCATTTTGCCTCCGGAGTACAGCACATGGGGCTACCCATACGGTGAGCAGCCCGTTCCTGAGATCTATACGGGCTGGCAGTGCGGTGGTAAACGTCTCCTCCCACAAGAGCCTCTTTGCTAGCTGTGAACTGGATGGGAATACAGGGATGTCAGCCTGCTGGGGGCTGATGTCAGAGGGGATCATGAGATCTCTCTGCCTGCTTTAGCCTCCGGAGGAGTCCCCTCTTACAGCTGTAAAAGCCGGCTGTCCGTTCCCACATCTACACCTGTGCCTGCCCTGGGCTCGTCATGAGAGGATCTCCCTGTTCTTAAATGAGCTTTCAGCCTCCCACTGATAGAAAAACTTCTTGGCTTGTGGTGAGGCTGGTGGGAGCAGAGCCAGGAAAATGATGTAACTGAAATCTTCTGTCTGACTTGGAGTGGGCCTGCAGCTGGTCTGAAGATACAAGCTGTGGGGGCGGGAGCTGAGAGACTGTCCAGGGTGGAAAAGCTTGGGGAAATCCCAGCCTGCTGGATTCCTGGAGCTGTGCTTGTCCCAGGCAGCTGGGGTGGCAGGGACCAGCGGTGGCTGTGAGCACAGACAGACTGTTAGCACAGTCCTACCCAAATAAACCCGTCTGTTGGCACTGGGGTAATGAGACACTCTACGTGTTGCTTCAGCCCTGGCTTGGGGCACACGGAGCACGGGTCACCTGTGATCTGGAGGTGTTGGAGTACATGAGGATGCTTGTGAAAGAAGGGGAGGAACAGAACAGGACTTTGAGGTGCTGATTTTAACCCCTCTAGGCATCGGGACAGGGATGGGACCGGCTGGCTCAAATTCTGCGTGTGCACACACAAACCCCATATATTTCAGCAGGTCAGGTTGTAGGGTCCTGGGGGGAGCATGCCTGCATGCATGACACGTGTGCCTGTTAGCAGTTTGCTTTACTCTGCACCGAGATACATAGACCGGGGTGAAGGGAACCTCCCAAACATC